AGGATTCGAAGAAGAAGACCCCTTTGAGCGCAGAGGAACAGAAGGAATTCGCACAGCTCCAGTGCTTTGGCGGATGTGTTTTTAAAAACATGTGCTTACTGTGTTTATTTAATAGTTAATGTGTATATATATATATGTATAACAAATTATAACAATAATATATTATAATGATGTTCAGCTTCTACACAATGACAATAATGACAATTACTATAGGTGATGGTTTCGGATAGGTTTATGTTCAACCCTTACTTGGGGATGATTGGGCCCTCTGACTAATATGTTTCAAGTGGGTTGAAAACACCAACCAGATTACTACTTCCCGGTTTGATCCTTGCTCAAGCTCTTCAGAGGCTTTGCTTGATTTCTGGAACTCTGACCTGAAAACCTTATTGAGCAAACCCTTAACGACCCATGGAAGTCATTGCTCCAGTGACACACGAATGGTTTCGGGGCTGGGAGTAATGCCAGCGCAATCTTGAAGCCCTGCGAAGAAATCTGAGCTTCAATGAGAGTGTTTCAGTCAGTGTGACCGATTACTATTTTGGCAATGTGAATCAGGCGAGAAGAACAACTCCAGGGGCGGTTCATTTGGGTGTGATTTTTCAGGTGTTGTCTTGGAAGGGACCCTACATAAGCATACATAAGCTGGCAGACTCACCAGTGGGGCAAAACCAAATTCAGGTTGTTGAAATTTATGATCATGTTTGCGATACTTCAACCATTGCAATTCTCGAATTGAACCCTTTCTGACCCTCATTTAGGCGTCGAAACTCTACCCCATATCACCAACATCCAAGAAACTGTACATAGTATTTGCCTTACCCTCTCTACACCCCCTGCAATAATCATTGCCAAAACCATCAACTTATGTTTGCCGGATCCCCTCCCCCCACCGCCAAACACCACTGGGGATTCGAGCCGTTGGAATCTGATCGATCCCGGTGTTCAGGAATGAAATCGAGATTTACAAGGCCAAGCTTCGCAGCGAGTTCGGCTACAGCTCCCTGGCGCGGACACGTTCTTGGACGGACGAAACTCGTGAGGATGAGACACCAAGGCATGGTTCACATAGGACATAATACTTTTAAGGTAATACACCAAACTGATCCGTTGGCCCAACGGGTTAGTTTGGGGTAGTATTATGTGTTTGTTGACTCCTTTGCGAATGTCAGGGACATACTACGTGTCATACGTTGGTGTAGATGTAATTGGTCCAGACGCCGTTGACTTCCGTCCTGGGAAGTCACATCTTGGAAGTCCGTACGCTGTCGACGAAAACAGCCGCCTTTCCCACCGGAACTGCAACACCCTAGGGCTCCAACCACCTCCTGAGAAGGTGGTCGGGGTGGGTTTTCGGGGTCTAACCACCTTCTGAGGATATGGTTGGAGCCCTAGGGACAGTTGCTGGCTCCCGGGAGTGTTTTCACGAGTTGCTGGCTCCGGCAGCTTGGCTGAGGCAACAAGGACATGAAGGCAGATCCAGATCTCAAGGACATCTGTCCGGTTCGAGATGGTTCGGGCTATGTCGGCCTTTCTTTCCCTAGCCTTCCACGTGTCTCCTTGGAAGGTAATTATAGTACTATAGACTCTAGACTCTAGACCCTCCAAACCCATTCCCAACGCCCTCTTAGAAGGTAATTAGTTGAGGTAGTTGGGCACTAGGGCCACTAGGGAGTTGCATGGTTTTTAGAGGCAAAGAACATGGTTACTGTGGGGCATCGGGCACCAGTCCTGCTACGGGCCCCGGCGCTGTGACCCAGCAAAGAGCGATGGATGTGGATGGCTGGACTCCTCATTCCCCTACACTTCCAAGACCATTCAAAACATGGTTGACCTGGTTTTTGTAGTGATAAATCCTTAGTTGATTTGGTAAAGCCTATTAAATTAATGGTTGTTGGAAGCCTAGTAGGGATTCTAATGTAGATCTTGATTAGTAAAAGCTCCCAAGACATGGATTGACAAGCCTTTTGGGGGTTGCAATATATTCAAGAGTCTATATACAGCTAAGCCGAACACTATCTAGATGATTGCACACCTGTTTGTTTTGCAGGCGGCGCAATTCAATGTTTGCCGAAATGTGAGTTCTCCACTGTAGGTATCTCTCCCACCCTTCCCACCCCACCGCACGAAAGTGAGACTTCAACATGCAGTTGTGAGCCTACAAAAACTCAAGAATTGAATTCGGCACATAACCCACGGATTAGCACAGGTTGCGAATGGGTTGAATATAGGTTATCAATACGGAAGTCAATACGGAATATGTTCAGTGTCACCATGTTTTCTGTCAAGTCAGCCGCAAACATCACGATTCCTTTAACTGACCGAAAACGAGCGAGGAATGCCAAATGCACAGTACAAGAACACACCCGTGGCCAAAACATGCCACCCCTTGGTTTTAGAAAGTACGATGTTCCATTTGTTCCCTGAATTAGCTCATCCAGGACCCTGCAAATTGTTAATTTGTTGCTTCGCATCTTTGTAAGGCTGGACAGGTGCCTCCCTGCAAGCCGTTGGCTGACCCTCCAAAGCTACCAACTCTTCCCAGGAGGTTCTTGGATCATGTTGGATCCTTTTTTTCAGCCGTTCGGGCGAGCACATGCGTTCGATCTTGACGAAGTTGGGTAGCTCTGAAATGGTGGACCTGCGCTGCAACGGTACGGAGGACATGGAGGCGCGGCTGGCAGCCTTTGAGAAGCGAAGTTGAGAGCTGGGAAGGCTTGAGGAAGGAGGGCTGACAGGCAGGCTGTGAGTCATTCCCCTCAGTGGTTGGCTTCATGGCTGTTTCATGGGATGGTTTCCATCTACTGAAGCATCTCGGTATGGGTCCGAATAGGAGCAATGGACGAGGACTTGTCCTGTAGATATTCCTGCAGAGCAACTATGGTGAACGTCTATGTATATACCCTAGAGCTCCAGAAGGTGGTTAGACCCGTAAAACCCACCCCAACCACCTTCTCAGGAGGTGGTAGGAGCCCTAGGGATAAGAACAAGGAACGACAAAAGCATGCCGTGGGAGGGGCATGCGTTTGCATTTGGTGTGCTTTGAAGGGGATTCCAGGGTGCGGGGCTCCAAATTGCCTTGTAGGCCCGTTTATAGGGTTCAACGGACTTGAACAGCCTTGCCGGAAATATAGAGGTCTTGCCGTTTCCAAAATGATGTTGCTACAAGTTCAGCTTCTGAAGCTTGAGTAATGACAGTCTGCATGTCTTTTTGGCTCTCCTACCCATTTCAATTCGTTAATTTTATAAATTGTGACTCTCAGCATCTCCAGCCAGACGTGCGCGGAACGCTGCGGAGTCACTGTAGTAGTGGGCCATCTTTGCGTGATGTTTGTTCAGTTTGGCACTTGTCACCAGAAGACCTTGAAGCATCTTGAGGGTGATTCAAGACAAGTGTAGGGTTAAAGTCACCCAGCCCGTGCTACATGAACAGAACTACCCCCACCCAGTAGTTGTGGATGTTGCCCATTTGTGTGTGTATGAGGTGAACTGACCAGCAGCCGCATGTTCTTCAATACAGTTCCTTGATTCAAATACGAGGAAGTTGCTTTCAGAGTCCACTAGTGTTTCGGCATCCAAACTGATTCTTGATACTTGGGCCCTTGTGAAGCCGAGAATGTTCTTTGTTCCTGAGCCCCCTTCCTGTTGGACTTTGGAGTTCAGGTAGAGTTGTTCAACACCTCATTGAGGATGTCGCTGATCTCATTGAAGAGGACACTGATCTTTGAAGATCACATTGATATATTTCCCAGCCCACCTATGCGCAAGCTGCGCGTAAGCGTCTATGACGATCACTGTTTTGATCGCCCGGCCCTGTGGGGCAGAGCAAGACTCTGGCACCGCGGGAAAAGCGGGCGGTGGCGCACGAAGAACGCGCTATGTCCAGACAGAAAGAGCTGGGACAGTTGGAAGAGGGATGGGCATAGTTGTGCTTAGGGTATTGTTTATTCTCCTTATGGCACTGATGGGTGATGTCCCTTCTCAAAAAGATTCTATCATCCCTGGACCCTCCGAAAACGCGGGGTGTCCTGGCGAACGACCGCAAAAGGCTTCCATGTCCAGGGCACCCCACGGTGTCGGGTCCTGGTTCTGCCAGCAACTCCGATGCTTGGGGGGCCAAGATGTTCATTTTGTTCAGCGACGGACGGTGGGTGAAGAGACTC